ATTTGTAAACCTTCTCTTTTTCTTTTTGTTTATCTTTTTTAAATATATGTAGTATGTATTACGATTATGATAAACAGTGGCACAATCAATTTTTGCATTTCACACACGCTTTGCTTAATATCGTTTTCTTTTTAATGGAAATAATTATGATTGAGTTTAAGTAAAATAACAAAATATATGTTAGGTCAAAATTGTAGAAATAAACTATAAAGAACTAATTTTGATTGTAGAAGAAGAAAATAATAAATAATAGAAAAAATATATAAAGAGAATAAAAAAATGGAAAAAGTGTTTCCAGAAATTTTATTAAAACATTACCAAATAGAAGCGAAATAAGTGGGCAAATGTGCCGCTGTGAAAAGTGTACATAGAGTGGAAATGAAAGAGTGCAAACAATAAACTACACTTAAGAAAGCTTAGTGCCGCAAAGGGTACCATTCAATGTAGGCCATGCAAACAATCATGCTCTACTAAACTTTACTCAGTATGAAAGCGCATTCGATAAACTCAGCAACAAAGCCTAGCCGAGTTGTTAATGATTTTAAGCTACCAAAAAAACTGAATACTAAAAAATTCGTTCGGGGGAAAAGTAATAAACTGCTACTCAATAAAAGCTAGTTTCAAAACTTGGAACGGATATATTTACTACTTCTGCGTTTGTCAAATACGGTAGGGATAAAAGCGGAACTGACACTAAAATAAAAAAGGAGAAGTATTTAACTGTTCATATTTAAATGTATGTATATATGTAGTTTCAGTAGTCATTTTTTCCGACTGAATTTCTAAGCAAAATACTTTCCTGCTGCTTGTGTGAAGTTATATGAGCAAATCGCACGAGTGTTTATTGTTTTTTTTTTCTGTAGTGTCACTGCCTTCTCTCGGCAGAAACAAAAACGCTAAAGCTTCTTCCTGCATTTATTTCAATCAATGGAGTTCCAGAAACAAGTACAATAAAAAATAAGTAAAGAATTTGAACAATTTTAGCCTTATGAGGTTCATTTGGGCGAAGATGTACCGAAATCACTATTTTTTTTTATTGCCACTCGGAAAAATCATAATGTGTTTTTTTTTAATAACTTTGTGAAGTTTTCAAATAATATGCTCATATTAGAGGAAATGAATGTTGGCATCAAATGCAATATATCTGTGAAATTTCAAGAGTACGCACTCAAATTAGAAAATGGCGGTTTTTTAATTTTAAAACTTTGAGTTACTTCAAAATGTCAACATTAGACGGTGAAAATGTTTTCTTTTTTGCCAAAATGAAGATAATGCATGGTGCAAGATAAGTGTGTCACAATTTTCGACCAAAAACACGTTTTTTTATCGAAAAATTTAATCACTCGTGAGATTTGCTCACATGCACGGTTAAGGTGGCAACATTGTTGTGTCAAAACTACGCAAAAAGGTAGATTGCAGTCGGCTTTCTGTTTCAAGATGGACAGACGTCAAATAAAGGCATACCAAGTTTGTGTTTGGTAGTAAATTTATGTCAGCGCTAGAATTTTTAATTTAATTGTCGATATTTCTCTAACTTAAAAAGGTCTCATTTATTTGCGTGAAATTATGGTAAAAAATTCTGATTAAAAATCATAAGAAACTTAAAGCATGCAAACAAAAGTGAAGCAACTTCATTTGTATTTTTAATTTGTTTATGCCGGACTTCCAATGGCGATTAAATTGAAAAATTTTAATAACAAAGTTGGGAATAAAAAAATAAACGCTTCATTAAGTTCATCAAAATAGTCAGTAAGTTTTAAGTGTTTTAAATTTCACAAATTTCTTTTGTCGTTTCAGTTTCGAACTTGTGGGAACTCGGCATTACACTTTCTTTTAAAACGACGATTTTTTGAAACTTCATCCCAAATAATTTGAAGGCAAAGCACTATTCCCGACATTTAAAATATGCGGACAAATCAATTCAGCAGAAGCAATTAACCGGAAAGAAACGATTAAGTGGGTGAAGCTAAATAAGTATATATGTATATGTTTCCGTATCTCGAATTCCATTACGTAATATCTGGATATTGAGTGACCTAGACAAACCTTTGAGTTTAATGCCATGCGAGAGTTTCTTGGAACCATGTATGTATATGGTCAGCTCGAGAGAAAATTCACTTTGGCTCGGAAAATCGGTTAAAAAATCGCCGGAATAGATTTTTATGCATAACTAAGGACCACTTGGACCGATTTTGATAATTCTTTTGACCTATTTTTTTTTTATAGGTAAGGTGGTACCCCAAGGGTGGTCGCATTTTATTTTCGGTTAGTTCCGATCAGTACATTCTGCTGCATACAGCGGCCTGAGATAGGAAAAAAGTCCGAGTTTCGAAAAATATATCTTTTTAGAATAATCGTACTCGTAATATTCTAAGGGTGCGGGAAGTATTTAGGTTTTGGGTGAATCGCATTTGTACGCATGAATTCGAATGCGCAATTCATGGACATATCGACGATAAATTAATGATCGGTTATCGTTGAGTCGGTCTTTATCTATAATGTCAAGTTCTGTAGTACGGCTTCCCACCAACCTATTAGAAACAGAGCAGTTACTTAATAAAAAAAAAAAATTGTGGAAACTGCGAGAAATCATAACTTTGCAAATTATTAGAAAATTTTCTTCTATCTTATATTTGTATATATTTACTAGTACATACCAGTACATACATATGTAAATAACCTTGTCTTAAACTCTACGCCATTTCGATGATTTTACTGCTGAAATATAGAATTTCAGTCAGCTGGAGATATTACCAAGGACTTAGACGCTGGCAGCGGGTCCTTCTCCTTTAGGATAGTTGAACGTACTTAAGCAGAAAAAAGGCTGAAATGTCACCGTCCAGCAAAATAGCTCGAAATGGTTAAATGATAAAAAGTAGCGCTTGATAAAGACCAAGAATATAGTTTAGAATTTTGCACAAAGATACACAAAAAAAAAAGTGTGGAAATAAGCTGAAATGCAACCTTTAGAAATTGCCACTCTATTCAAATCAATATTTGCTTTACCAAATTTTATTTTCAAAGACTTCAAGAAAGGACAGAATCAATTCAATTTGTACACAGTAGACCCCGCCTAGGCCATAAGGCAAATCTCACGTAAAAAAAAACAATCTTAAAGCTCCCTGTGTTTAAAAATTTTCAGCAGAATTTCGTTTTAAGCGCCTAGCCGATTTTTTGGTGCACAACGACCAGTCAGAGATACACATACCAATAGATTTTAAAATGCATTCGTACCATAACAGAGTATGAAAATTTCAAAAACCAAGGCAAAAATGAAGTATTGATGTTCTACAATATTGGAAAAATTAGTCTTTGCGGAAACCGCACTTAGCTCAGTTAGCTAAAATAGTTGTAGCTGTTCCTGCAGCGCAGGTCCGTGTTGAAAGGCTGTTTTCTGGCCTAAAATTCAGTCGGCAGGCCGCTCCATAATAGGTGTTCATCAAATTTCCTGGACGTTTCATCGTTGAAAACATTTATTTATGTACACACATACTATGTGTATGTACGAACTTATGATGCGTACTTGGATGCCAAATTTGAAAATTAAAAAAAAAAAATTCGATACTTTTCGCTTAGAAATTAATAAAACACAACAAGCAAAATTTAAACAGGCAACTAACTACTAAAATAAATACGCTAAATAATATAATTACATATATATATAAGTAGCATTGTTGTTATTTTATGTTGAGACCTTATATTAAGTTATTAAATAATATAAAAATCTTTGAGGCATATTTGTATGTGTGTATTTAAATTAGGTACTCTTCGTTAACTGTACAAAGTAGGAGAGGACATTTGAAGTAAACTTGTATTGAATTACAGAAGGAAGCTGGAGAAAAAGTACGCGCGCGCGTTTTTAGGTACATATGTATGTATGCAGTTGCGTATGTTTGCATGTAGAAAATAAATGTATATGCATATGTATGTGTGTAGGAAAAAGGAAGTACATATTTTAGGGATAGCAGGAAATTAATTAACGCAACTTTTTTGACTAAGTAAGTTTTCCCGCCGATATTGTTAGGCAGCGGAACTCATTCAACGGATTTTCGGCGACTACGAAAATTTTGTTAATTTTTTTGCACTTTTTATTATGTGTTTGGTAGGTTGGTTTATTTATATTCACTTGAATATATTTTTTTTTTAAATTCGTGAACCAGGAAGGCTCTAGTAAAAAACTCACTTACTTAACAGTTTATATATGCAGCTGTATTTATAAAGAAAAATAATAATTTTTGTGTCTGCTTACGACACTCGATATCTAATTGCAAGTGTTTTTTTGCATCACATCTACTTTCGTTTGTCTAGTAATTTTATCAAATATCTGTAAATAACGATACACTGTATTTTTTAAGCGAAATGTTAGTATTACCATAAAAAGTCAAACTATATGCCAATATTATATATATGTAGTATTATGAAATGCTAATTAGAACTAAAAAGATACGAGCCTAAACTAAATAATAACAAAAAAAGTTCAACAAAAAGAAAATAATAAATTAAACTAATGGCTAGCATTATATATATGTATGTATGTAACCACTACAACAGAAAAAGTTAACAAACAAATTGTTTTTATTTTACAAATACATACATTCAATTATTTCAACGGCAAATTTTACATATTATTTTTTATAGTGTATTAACTGCAATAGAACGTTAACCGTTTCGTATTCATGATGTGGTTAGAAAAGTAATTTTCATTTTGTTTTCATTTTTTGTTTTGGGCAAACTATAAAAGCCTGACGTTTTATCACACGTCGGTTATAGGAAAGGAAAAATTATATAGTTTACTGGTTTTTTTTTTTTTGTTTTCTAAAGGGGGTGTAACTTTCTAAGTGGTTGAGTTTGGTATATATGTATATATAGTACAGTAGAGCCTCGACTACATGAGCGATATAATTCGATTGATAAGAGACATAGAGGATAGAGATAGAGTGTGGAAAAGCAAAACCAAAAAAAAAACAAAAACTATGCAAAATTGGTACTTTGGTACTCACCATCAATGTTGTCCGATTGATCCAGTGTTAGTTGTTTGCCATCATTCTGATCCTCTCTACCATCTGGCTGCAGGCCATGTGTGGATAGTAATTGAGACATCTCTTCGGGGTGTAGCTTCAAAGCACCAGGCTGTGCGGTGGACAGAATTGGTTTAATAAATTTCATCAACAATTGTACTGAGAAAGTATACTAATATTGGCTCGATTTTATTATGAAACTTAATTCTGATTATCTTTGGTTGCAGTTTTTACTTTAGTTATTTGTTTGTGTTTTTTTAATATGTTTAAAATACCTATACTACAAAATATGCTATCAGAATCTTTGGAGAATCTAAAATTGCAAGTAATCAAACCAAAGTCAACCGATTTGTGCTTAATTTTTTGCTCACGTAATGCTGAAACTTGGGCCACTGCATCTATCAGTTGAACAAGCTGCAAAGCGGACTCTCCTTAACTTTGCGAGAGAGGCCTTTGGCAAAGGTAAGGTTTTGTGATCCCGGAATAAGGACAGGCTGGGCTCCCTGCGCTCTTTAGTTCTGCTCTAAAGGAACAACATGCATAAGTACTAGTTTTCGAAAAAAAAACTATAAGGTTGAAACACACAGACAGGCGACCTAGAGCACTTCTATCATGGAGAGGCACGTCCAGGCGAGTACACTAAGGTGGTATCCATATGGCGCTAAAACACCTGAGGGGATAGGAGCAGGTGTTTATGGCCCTAGACTGAAGCTTTCGGTGCCCCTATGCCAGCAGTCTGTGTGCTGAGATTGACCTTCGAACGAAGTATCGAAGCGAGAGGATGCTAATTTTAAGCGATAGCCGGGCAGCACTCAAGGATCAAGGATTATGATCCTGGTTTAGTGACCTATGTCGCTTCTGTCACGCTATCAAAGAGACTCCATTGCACCTCCTTCTGAAGTGTTGAAGGGAGATGAGCATAGGGCACTTATGGCTAAGAGAGGACCACATACGCTCTCTACCCCCGGGATATATTCTGAAATTTCTAGAGTCAGTGAGGTACTGCGATAAGCTGAGGACACAATAGACCTAGACTGAATACCTATTACTTACGACCTGTAATACAATTGCACGTGACTCTCAGCTTCGGTTGGAGCGGAGAACTTGAAACTCCGGCCTGGATACATCATCTGTTACCGATGGCTCTAAAACGGAACTCGGAGTTGGGGCAGGTGTTTTCTCTGGGACTAAGCCCGACCTGTTCAATTTTGCAAGTGTTTTTCAGGTAGATGTATTCGCATGGGAATGGCATAAAGGCTATTTTATATTTTTTTTTTGCTGACAGTGCCACGCAATTTTTCCATACAAAGTATGTTAAAAAAAAATTTTTTTTAATGTCTGCCTTCTAAAAAAGTATCAAATAACCATAATTCGAGAGATTTTTGGAAACTTTAAGGTTCTTGGGACTTCCGCAAATATTATCCCATTGGAAAACGCACTAGTTATTTGAATTTCGAAATCGAAATTTTTTTTCTGTCCACCCTAGTGTACTCGTACAACCCTAAGAGAACACACAACTTATTAGGAAAACCTGGTCCTGATGTCGCGATCCTTACTGGGCATGGGTTGGTTGGAACCCAAGCCAGAATATTAGGCATCGCCTACAACGACTTCTTTAGAAACTGCAGGAACGAAAGTGAACAGCAAACAGTAGAGCACCATCTTTGCAGATATCTAGCTTTAATGAGGAGCAGGATTACCATATTTTTCCGCTGGCTATAAAGATGCTATAAAAAAATTCGAAAACGATACATTTGGTAAAGATGTATTCATTTTCAATTACAGCCACGCTGCAAAAAGCTCCGTTGCGATTAGCTAAAAAGTTAGGTTTGGTCTATCGTCGATCTCTGCAGAAGATGGCTAAATAGAACAGCCTTAACCTCATTTGGCTTCTCGTTCACAGGGATGTAGATGATAACTATGATGGACGAACTTACAAGATGGGCTCGGCCATGTAGAAACTTCTAGGAGAATAATGCATGGGTCAGTCAGCCTCTTGCCGCTTGTAAGCTGGATACAAAAAACGACCAGCCTGACCTCTAGGAAAACTTGGCATAGGTAGGATCAAGACCATTTAATATTTTGATTTCTTAAAAAGTGTATACTAATTCTGCTCAGAAGAATAAAATATCGATCTAACAGTAGTTCATAGGTAAATTTCAAGGAAAATTCTTGAAGCTGTCTTTCACCTCACCACAGTCTTTCGTAAGACAATTGTCAATTCCGGCAACTATAACTATATTTCGAAAGACTAATTGAAAGATCTGCTAACGAGGAGGTCTTTGCGTTACGCTGTCCGCCTTTTAGCAATAAGTATATTCTTATTAAAAAAATGTATATATGTATTTTACTTGTCAAAATAAGTAAAAGAATATTAAATTAAAAAAAAAAAAAGAAAAAAGGAGAAAATGAAAATAAAGCAAACATAAATAAGAAAAAATTAAAAAAGTTAGATGAAATTTGAAAACGTATATGTTTTTCTTTTTAAATCAAAAAAAATCTTAAAATGAAATGAGAAAAAGAAGAGGTACTTAAAAATTAAAAAACAAAAAAATATTTTTAAAACAAAATCTAGAAACAAAATAAAAAATTAAATTCAAAAAGAAGGAATAAATAAGTTAATAAAAATGATATAAAATTACAAAAAAAAAATTTTTGTTGCTTAAACATTTAAAGCTAAAAATTAAAATAAAATGATACTAAAAGAAGCAAAATTTAATTCGAAAAAGGCAAAAATTAAATAAGTTCCTAAAAATTATAAGAAATTTTTAAAAATATTACTGTGTATTTTTAAAAGAATAACATCTAAAAATTAAAAGACAAACAAATGAAGGAAGACAAAAAATTAAAAAAGAAAGTAATGAAATTAAAAATATATATTTTTCGTTTTAAAACAATAATAACGAAAAATTAAAACAAAATTTAATTAAAAAAGAAAAAAAAATATTTTGATAAAAAAATAAAAAAAGTCCACTGCCTGAGACTCGAACTCGGATCTCTCGAATGGCACGCCCATACTTTGCTCACCCAGTCATTGCGACTTTTTTTAACTTTTATCCTAGAATAACGAAATTCTTGCCATCTGTCTTTCATTTGTGTTACGAAAGACTTTTTACTATTTTAGTCAGAAATTAAATTATATTGTTATAAGGTTATCTGGTTATGTTGCTAATTTTTTATTCAGCTTACAACAATAAAATTCACTATAGATAATAAGTTTTAACCAGATAACCTGATAACCTTATAACCAGACAGAACAATATAATTTTATTTCTACACTTTCGGTAGGCAAATAGTCTTGGGGATTAAATTTACTTATAAACTACTAGGTCGGAATTTTTCTGATATATTATTCTTTTGAGCTGAATAGTGAGACCCACATTGTTATTATTACTTTCGACTTTGACTTAATTTCCCACGATTTCTTTTTTTTTTTGCATAATCCAACAAGGTCTAAACGTCATTTGTATAATATCCCTACGGACAACACTTCATTTCAATAGTAATATCTAATTATTTGAAAAGATAAAATTGCCTTTCCGTTTAGAAAAAAAAACAATCTATCGAATCTTCGAATGATATTCTAAATGTTTTTTTTATTAATTTAAATAACAGTATTGCTTGATTTCTGCGTTCAACCTGACAAAGAAAATGCTTCAAAGTTATCAGCTAAATTGTGCTTGCACGTTAATCGTTTGAAACAAATAATAAGTTATACATAAAATACTCGTAAGAGAAGAAAAAGTTGAAAGTTTCGCAACTTAATAAATAATTATGTTTAACAACTTATTAAAATTATTAAAATACAGCGGGAGATCTTATATACGTAGTATTTAGTTGTTGCGTTGCTTGTCTGCCTTCGTTTGAAGACCGTACCCTCAGGCATGTATATCTATTCACGCAGTATGTATTTCACGTGCTATCCTCGCCCACATTGATCGTTATCACTTCCGGTGTACTATTGCGTTTGGTCATTGTCTCACGCAATATTGCGCCGATTTCGCCATCCACTGACACGTTGCGAATACCGCCAACACCACCACCACCACCACCACTCTGACCGGCTGCTGCTGCTGCATTACTTCCCACACTGCTTTCCTTGCTACGCGGTTGCAATTTATCCACCTCCAGCTGTTCACGCTCATAGCACAGACGATGCGATTTGCATTTATTGTGATGATTGACAATCTCCAGCCGAAAGTTGGAGTTGCCTTCCACAAAGGAGGTGCGTATATCCGGTATATCATTGGACCATTTCCGACAATATTTACAAAACATTGTATTCGCCACCTCATCGTATTGCAACCAATCGAATTGAAAGAGCCAATTAGAGCGGAAACGTCCACTTTTGCGCAAGCTGCCACCACTGGCGTTGCTATTGCCGCCAGCGTGCGCGCCGCCTCCAAGTGCGGCGGCACTAAATTGTTTGGTGGCTGTCGCATCGTACGCTTGGTATTTGCCAGCATTGGCGTCGGTGGGCGTAAGCGGTCGCTGAAAATTATCTGTGGCGGCAAGCAAATATTGTTGTTGTTGTTGCAACAAGCGCTGAATGGTCGCTGTCGCAGTAGCGGTGGTTTGAGCGAGCTCGAGATCGGCTACAAGTCGTTGCGCCGGCTGTGCGGAGGTGAGTGACGACCCCTGCGGCGTTTGCGCAGTGAACCAATTCTCTTCGCTTCGATGTTTTTGGCTATGTTGCTGCTGCTTTTCACGTTGCTGTTGTTGTTGTTGTTGCTGCAGACTCTTCAATTGCGCCTGAACGGCCTGTTGCAGCAACAGGTTTTGTTGTTGCTCGCGCTGACCTTGCTGCTGTAGGAACTCAAATTGTTGGCAGGCGTGCTGCAGTTGCTGTTGCGTCGGCGCTAAAGTAGCCGACATCGAAGACGACGCACGACGTTGGCGTTCAGGTGACTTGCTATACTTTGCCGCGCGCTTATCCTGCTGCAGTTGTGGAGAAGACGCGATTGTTGGTTTACAAGAGTATTTGTGAGAGGTTGTTATGTGGGTTGAGTGGCGCCAGTGATAAAGTCGCGTGCGTTATGGCCGAGCGATATTGGCGTCGAAGTAAGTTTCGAGAAAATTAAAGATAAAAGGAAATAAACAAAAAAAAAAATTGTAACGAAAAAATGAAAGCAACAATAACAACTTAAGAAAAGCGGTAGAAATGGTATTATTGGAAAGGAGAAAGGATTTCGCATTTGCTTTTGTGCGTGTGTGTGTGTGTGTGTGTATTGCATTGCTGGGGTGCTGGGAGCGTTTCGTGGGTTGGCTGATGAAGGAAGGTGCAAACAATGAAGCACATACAAAAAGGACTTGGAAAGGAACATATTAGGCAAGAAGAACACGTTAGAGAGCTAGCGGTAAAGTGAGTGCAGCATTTACAAAAGCAATGTTGTTCAGATTTTTTCTTTTTCTCGGCCGATGCGCATTTTGCATTGCAAGTATCTAGAAGGGTTAGCGTGTATAATTTCACTACTTAAGTAAATAAATAATAAGTAAGTAGCATTTTCTAATTTTTTATTCCAATGAAACAGCAACGTAAATCCTTCATCCTTGCGATATGGGACATTTCCACATTTTCTTAAGTTGCGCTAAATACTGTTGTTTAACGCACAGCTTTTGCTGGCGTTATTTGAAGCATTTTCTTTGTGTTTTATAATTTTTGTTCAACAATTTGCTTTGTTAAATTAAAATTTTTTTCACATTAAAGTTAGTGAACCGTAGCGCTTAGTGTTTCTAAAATAAAGGAACATTTTGGTTTACTTATTCGAATATGTAGGTATGTGTACGTAAGTAAGTAATTAACGGAATTTGGAACCATCGTACCGGTCCAAAAGAAAAAACCTCAACAATTCATAGTGCTTACTAATATATATACATAAATATATATATATATATGTATGTACTTATGTATATAAAAATTGGTCCTTAGCTATTTACTAACTACGCAACATACGCTAATCTAAAAAATGTTTATAAACATGTTGATAGAAAGGCTTAAAATTCAGATTTTAATCTGGATCCTTGCTCAAGTATGAAGCTCTGAGAACTATTACTTCAAATCTTTGCAGATAAAACTACATATCGCTGCTTGCTGGTTGGGGGTTTTCTCTCTAACAAAAATAAATTGTAACTAAATGGAGAATGGAGGAAAATTCGAATCCAGTATACTATTACCCTTATTTGGTTCCTTACTTTGGTCAAATAGTGAACGTTTTCTCAAAAACAAAGACCAGAAAGCTAAATTTTCTTCTGAATTATTTACACAATAAATAGAGAAGAATGACCTGCCTTCACTTAACTAACCTTTTAGTTATGTCGTTCTTCTAGCAAAGTATGATTTTGCAAAAACTATACAAATCTTTCTATTTTTGTTCGTATTTGATGGTTACAAAAACTAAACTCATTGAAAAGGAAAATTTGTATGCTTCCTATTGATTCTTATGGCTTCTGAGGAATTCAGACGCTCTTGCCTTTTGAACTCTTAAGGGCAAGGTAGAAACTCCACACAAAGTTTCACAGAAGTTGTCTACTTCGGTGCTCAGGTCGACATACCGACATACATACCTACATATAAAACTTTATAAATTATATTGCCACGGTTGAATGGGACAGCGCGTATTTTCTGAGCGCCTTACAGCGACATCGTCGTCAATCCTAATAAGACAGAACATGTGATTTTCTCTAGGAAATCTAAGATCTCCAACGCAATTATTCAATTTCAAATTGCAACATTCTGTCAGTTAAGTTGATAGTTAAGGTATTTTAAAATTTATGCCGTTTTCCTCTTTTACATGGAATGACCCAATACAGAATACGTCAAACATTCTAGACTCATATGGTCTTGTATTCTTATGATTTTTTTCTAACTTTTGATCGAATGCAATCAGTTCAAAAGACTAGATAATGCTTAAGCGGGTCCCTTCACATGTTTTAAAGAATAAGCTAGCAAAGCATCAACATGTTTATAAACATTGCCCTGGTGAACACAATAGACAGAGTCTATTAGACACAAAAGTGAGATAAAAAAAAAAAAACAATTCAATATTTTTCTACGTATCTTTAAAACTTTACTTTAAATATAAATGCTAATGAATGTACATATGTATGATTTTTACTTAATTATGCATATGCACACATACATACTCACATACATACATACATACATATGCAAGTACATATGTACACACATATTATTTCACTTACCGGCAAGTATTCAGTTGGCATAGGTACATGAGTCTCACGTTGTTGTTGCTGCAGCTGTTGCTGCTGTTGGTGTTGTTGCTGTTGTTGTGCTTCAATTAATTCTTGTTTAATACTAAGCGCTTGACTGAGACCAATACTACTGGATATCGCACTAACACTACCGCTACCTACGCCACCCAGAACGCCACCGCTACCGCTCAATTGACTGGCGGAGAGGGGTGATTCGTGTCGATCGCCAACACCTGTGACAATAGCGTCCTCCGATTCGGACGTGCTGCCGGTTTTTGGCACGGGACTCGATTTGAAATTGCTGCGTGAGGATGCCTAAAAAAAATGGAAGGTATGGGAATGTATTTTCAGAATGTGGTAAGGAAGCGATTAAAAGAAAGCAAATAATATGAATTTAAAAAAAATATATAGATAGATTTTTGCAAGATTTCTGTGGTTCCCGCATTTTGGAGATTTTGTAATAGATATTTTAGAAATATCAGCACAACCCGGACTGTTAAGTAAACTGCTCCAAATTTAAGTTTAGGGGTTTAATATATATTTTACTGGCCAAACCGGATTTTCGGACAAATTAGTGTTGCCAATGCTAAACTTGTTTTAACTACATGCGATATGATAAATCGGCATAGCCTGGACCACACTGGTCTGGACTACGTCCGATAGGAGAAACCAGTTAAGTCTATGCTGAACTGCGTAGCTGGAGTTGGACTCCCTATGGTTATTTTTTGAAGCGCATACTAGTTTCTCCTATCGGGCTTGTGCCAGCCAATATTGATCCAGGCTATACCGGTTTATACTATCGCACGTAGGTGGAACTAGTTTTATTTAGTTTTTTTCACGTTTTTATTTCAGGTTAATTCATTTTTTGACTTTATAGATGTCCATAACGACTATAACACTGTACGAAATTTTCAGTTTTTTTTTGGGGGAATTAATGAAACCAAGTTTTTCCGAAAGTCGGATTGCATATAAAAATAAATAATTGGTATAATATAAATAGAGGGGACTCGAACACATACATGACCAACAGATCTGCGGCTGCTAATAAGTGCTTTGAGAATCGCTTGGCTGCCGGAATGATTTAACGCGCAGAATTGATTTTAAGACCTAGCTGTAGAAGTTATAAGGAAAATTGCTCTTGGTCGCAATATCTCTATTAAAGTAACTTAAAGAAAATATGTACTATAATCAATATCGACAACTAAAAAAAAAGGAAAGCGTTTTGGCCAGAAACCATGGTCTTACAAAAATTGCTAATATGAAATATATAGTATTTACGGTCACCAGAACTACGAGTTAAGTTCTGGTCGGGTCCCAAACCCAGCGCACAACAATAGCTGGGAAAAAATCGCAGCGGTACCATATCCCGAAAAAGCAAGATGCTGCTGGCGTATGCGGATGATTTTTTATCGAACTTTTTAAAGCACTTAAAATAATTTTTTTTATGCATATTTCGACGGCCCTGCTCATTGCGTCATAAGTTATAACATTTTACTATATTTTGTATATTTTTTTTTAAATAATATGTATAGCTTTTCAGCCTAGGAATGCGATAAGATAAATTAGTTTTTAACTTTACATGATAACATTTTGAAAAAAAAATCTAGCATTATTTACTATCGATAAGAAAGTAACTGTGTCGCTTCTATGCCGAAATTTGTTTGTCATAAGCAATTCTTCGATACTAGTCATTGAGGAGACCAATAATACTATAGTTATGCGTTCTTAAATGTGATTCATGAATTGTAAAGAAATTTAAGTTTTAATATTGTAACAGTATGTACTCGTGCGAGATTTGTTTGTTGAAAATACATTTCTTTCATATATGGAGTACGAGTATCTTTGGAAATTGAATTACCGATTTATATTACATTAAGGAAACTTTTTAAATTTCGATTTCGAAAAAGCGAGATGAAAACATTTTCGGAATTCACTTTCCACTTTCTACTCGAATTAATCAAATAAGTGAAATTAATTTTTAAAATACTTATTGTTCACACACATATGTATATACATATTATACTAACATTGGCTAGACAGCGAATTCCAAGCACTTAATATTCTTATCTACATATGCCATAAACATTAACAAATACTTGAAACGAACTAACTTTTGTAAATCAGCGGCAAAATATGCGTAAAAATAAACCATTCAATGGGAGAGTACTGCACTTTCACTTTTCTACGGAAAAGGTAAATTTTCTGTTTAATTAAGAAAAAAAATCCCTGGTCCGAGCAACATTTAACAAAAAAGCGGCAACGACAAACCTCCGGGTACCTTTCTGTCATGAGAAGCTTCTCATTGAAAACCATTTGCCATTCGGAGGCGGCGTAAGTCTGTAGGTCTCTCTTCTTAGTGTGAAAACATCAAGACGCACACCACAAATCTGAGGAGAGGCTCGGCCAAGCACTAGCAAATGTGTAAGCGCCAAATATTTATTTGTTTACTAATTGGCCAAATAAGTGTGTTTCGCCTTACTTTTAAACCGGCTAGCCGGACTAATTTTTTAAGCATTCCTCTGCAGACGTACCGTTCGTGTGGCCTATCATTCGAGATAGATAATAAGGCTGTCAAGTCCTTAATTAAGAATTACGAAGCTAGGTAAACTTTGAAACCTGACCTAATTGAAGCACCTTTGGGTCATGGAAACTCCGTTAAAATTTTTAATAATCACACTCGATGCATTGTCATCGATATATGTATGTATTTATCACATCTGTTGCCACTCACCTGAGAATCCTGAGTGTAGTGCCTATCCTGTACATTTGCGTTATGTGTCGAGGTCAACGAATTATCACAGTTGGATGAGTTCTTACGTCTTCGCTTATTACTACCTATATGCTCCACCGGCGTGGTGGACATCTCTCTATCACGATCTCTGTTATCCTTGTTACTATAGTCTAGCTGCATGAGTTCATCACGACTGTCGGCACGATCACGACCAATACTGCCGCCACCACTGCTACCTCCATTGCCTGCACCACCGCCACTGCGCTCACTATTCGCATCACTGTTGCGACTGTTTAACACTCCGCTGCCACTGCCGACACCACCCCCACCGCCCCCACCACTACCACTACCAGTGCAGCCTGTATGCGTCGAGCCACCTAGCGCATCAGCGCTAGCGCTACGTGTTGCTGCAGCCGCCACAGCAGCTGCCATTGCGGCCGCTGTGATCGGTGAACGTTCACCTAAACCCAAAGCTGCTGCGGCGGATTGTAAACTGGCACTTACACTACCCACACTGGCGGCAGTGGCAGCTGCGGCCGCATTACGTTCACTCAGACTACTGCTGCTACGATGTGAATGCATATCGTCGCGCAGATCGCGCTCGCTGGCGCGGCCACGTAGCTGTTGATCACGCTCACGTGTTTCACATTCGCTGACGCCGCCGATACCGCTGCTGCTATAGGTTGTACGGCCAGTGGGCGAGGGTATGGGTGAGTCGCGATGCTCCGTACGATAGTTGAGGTTGTTGTTGTCTGTGAGACCACGCACCTGCGCAGCGAGATGAAGAATGAGCAGCATGTGTAAGTGAAATGTGCACAAAATTTGAAAAATATCGAGCTTACCTGTAGACTCTCGGCTGTTTTGAGGAACATCGGCAGCGAACTTTGTCCGACGTTGACTTCGCCTTTGTACATGAAGTCGAGCAGTGAGCGCATTTCTGAGTATCTGACATCTTTCAAGTAGATGATAGGATGTGGATGGCGGTTTTGTAGGAAAATTGTTTCGAAATATGGGCTGCATGCTGATAGAATAGTCTGATGCGCCTATGTGGGTATGCAATGGGTTAAATTGTGTGTTTGTAGTTGCAAAATTGTATTAAGATTCTATTACCTTGACTGTCTCACCGTCGCATGCCAGCGTTACATCGCAGAGTGCCTCTCGCTGCAGCAACGAGGTTAGCACACCAGTTAAGTTTGTCGGATGATTGTTCCAGCGTAGACAGAATTGCTGGTCCATAGCTCCTTGGTCAGTGTTGTATCTGTGAAAATTGAAAAAAAAAAATTATTAGATTTTGAATTCGATTAAAACACGAAAATACAAAACGAGTAGTTCATTTTTAAACTTGAATAATCCATAATGAATTAAAATTACTCATACGCCACGTTCAATCACGAATCATTCTAAATAAAAAAACTATTAAAACCCGTAAGCTCTTTTCGCTTTCAGAGCCCAAACGTGGTTATGACTTCATATAAATAACAGGAAATTCCTTAATCCATCTCAAACTTTGTCCAGGAAACTCAATTTATTTGCTAATAAATCGAACCATGCTGGCTAAGAAAATGATTATAATTAGCTACTCTGTTGGCTCGAAACTCTCTTTAATGAGGAGAGCAAAGCATAGCCAAAGCTATCTTCCGATCTTCTGAAAGCCGGATAGGATACGAAAGAGGTCGCCACTGACTGAAACTTTGGGGATCTCAAATGCGTGCGTTGGATACGACAATTGCTCACGCTAGACCTAAAGCGCGACTATGTGAGCACATATGTAAGATGCGCCGAGGACGAAAAATTAAATCAACACAATATACCAGGAACCAAAGGACAGCTGACTTTACTGGGGGAACGTGCGCCAAGTTCACTTCGGCTGTTGTTTTGAGGTGCAGACTTTGCTATTTACAACGACTGCTTTGAAAGGATAAAACTATCAATTGAAGATATTGTTTTGAGCTGTTGGATAGTTTCGACGTTGATTTGAAGCAATGCCGATTGCAATTGGCGAAGAAAATTATTCTTCCACCAAGACAATGCTTAGGGGAGCAGTCGCAATGGAAAATTGCAGAGTCAGGTTAGGGTTAGGTTAGCAGCGCGTGTGTGGAATATTCTATACTTTCACTGGCAGACAGAATTGCCCATTGTGAGTGCCCGTTTTTAGCGAGTCACAAGAGGAGACACGTACCTATAATCGAAAGAGTAGTCATTATTCTACTGAACCAATTACTATCTCTGACGAAGCCGAGGAGATCTAATAGTTCCACCTCTGCTACCTCGCCCAGACTGTTGAAGAATTTCCCATTGTGAGTGCCCTCTTATAGTGAGTAACAAGAGGAGACACGTACCAATAATCGAAAGAGTAGCTTTAAATCATTATTCTACTGAACCAATTACTATCTCTGATGAAGCCGAGGAGATCCAACAGTTCCACCTCTACGTGAACCCAAGAGCTTGAGTCACTTCGTATGTAGACCTGGACATAGCCACAGATAGTGAGTGGCCAATTGTCTCTTCCCCATCCTCATCATGACGGCCTCTGCAGAGAGTACTTGCTGGTATTCGCCACTGCTGAAGCATTGGTACTATAGCACAGTGACTTGTGATGACGCCGGTAAGGACTCTTACTGCAGATCTCTTGAGTTTCAGTACGCCCCCTGTCTTTTTCCTACTAAGACGCGGCCATAACAATCTTGCGGTCTCATAGTCTTCCCGTTTGTTCCACAAGTCATTCGTCGCGGCCACGGTGTACTCCGTAATTTTCCTAACGTGGTCACTAAATGGTGGTAGTACGGAGCTATCCGCTTCATCTATTTACATCTCTGAGTCGCATCTAGCCCTCTCATCAGCCGATTCATTCCCATCAATTTTGCTAGGTCCGGGAATCCAGCATGGAGTGACGTTGATACGGCTGCGACATTTCCATACAATTCCCGATTGCACTTCTTTAGATCCGAACAAGAGAGGTCATCACTGAAACATTTTTAGAACCTTGGTAAAATATATCATTTGAAAGGAATCAAAAAATGGTAAAATGCTGTACTAAATGCAAGAAACTAATAGTATCCTATGTTAAGGAATAATACGGCTTTAGCTGTGGCACTAATCTCGGACTGAAAATTGTTACAGCAATCCGGTAGCAAGAAAAGCTCGACGTCCAAAAGCTGCAGTCATAACAGACGCATTCGCCACACTTTCACACTGGCTCTCAGACCCTTCAACAGACCGATATATGCGAGTAGTGGAAAAATTTTTTCCGCTAATTACGTTCGTCACCGAAGAGAAAAGATGCCGCTTAGAAGGTCAAGCTGTGATCGGGCGCGACGCGAACTATGTCGGATCGCTATAAGCAACAGAAGGGGGAAACGAGACGTATTTGCTTTAAATGTTGGCCGACAGGAAAAACGCTCAAAAATTTTACCAGAGAGTTTGGCGACTTACGGAAAGTTTCAAGATCAGTGCGATCTCCTGTTAGAACAACAATGGCGCCTTGGTGATCGATGTACAGAACGTACTTAAATTATGGAGGGAACATTTTTCTACCTATCAAATGGTAGCCACCACCTGACTATGACGAGATATGAATAGCAATTACGCGGCTGAAAAGAACAAAGCTGCTGGAACTGACAGCCTGCCAACAGAGCTATACAAGTACGGCGCCGAGGAGATGATAAGGTACATGCTTCAACACTTATGCAGAATATGGTCAGATGAACGCATGCCCGACGACTGGAATTCAAGTGTGCTCTGCCCAAGAAAGGCGACCCAGCCATTCACACCAACTACCGCGGGATCAGTATGTCTTTATACCTGGCAAATCCACCAAAGACCATGTTTTAACAATACGCCAAATCTTGGAAAATACTAGCGAGAAAAGTATCGACACTCACCATTTATTTGTCGACTCCAGCTCTGAAAGTTAACAACTCGGAATCAGCTGGTGGTAGCAGGGGAAAGGGGGCCCCCACTGCGATGGAAAATCCAAGTGGAGAAGGACTTGGCTTCACTTGGCACTTGTAATTGGTATCAGTTGGCACAGAAGAGAAAGGACTGGCGCCCTTTTTCGAATATGTAAATAAGTGAATAACTAATTAACGAATAGTTTAGTCGTTGAGCAGGTTTACTGTGCCGAATTTTTGCGAGTTTCAAAATTATAACTAAAATTTATTTCATGGAATTTTGTGAACTCGAGTTTCTTGTAATAGGTACAGGACAAGTTATCAAAAAAGATATAAAAGAAAGGCATGCGAAAATTTATTAAAATCCGAAGGAAGTGTGCGAATGCAGATTCATTCTTTCGAAAGAAAAAATTATAGTAAAAGATATTAAGTAAATATGTATGTATGTACAAATTGTACGCGTGTAAATAAATAATACAATAAATATATGTACATATATGTATGTACATATGTATGCATTTATCATTCTCCCACTGTGTGCCAACTCTCAATGATTAGTATGAGGTAATAAGCTAGACAAATAACAAACAATAAAAATGAATGGAAAATACGATTTGCTGCCCTTTCGTCTATGGATGGCAATGCCAAAGGAAAGACAAAACAATCAATGTAGCGAAAACAAAACCAACAACAGCAAATATTAATTCAATAATTACTTCATTCGCCGGCGATTCCGACGTCAATATCGATCTGGCAAACGAAACGAAAGCGAAAGTCAAATAGAGTGCACATACATTTATACTTGCATATGAATGTGTGTATATATGTATATTAGGGTGCATCACTCTCTATAAAAAAAAATCGGCGCTATTTTATAAATTATATTATAAAATTTATTATATTTCAAGAATTCTGGAAATACCTCCAAAAACCTCCTTATTTTGATTTCGTTGATAAACTTTTTAAAAATTCGTATACTGCCTCTCGTATAAACTGACCTGTTTTTTTTTGGTAACTATATTTTTAAACACCAACTTTATTAAACCAAAACGCTTCTTGGATGCTTTTTCAAATCGGTCCAGTTAACGTAAGTTATAATTTTGTTTACGATAAATTTTGGAGGGAGTCTTAAAATACCTATAATGAGCCCTATCCTGAGTTTCGCCCGAAAACGAACTAACTCGAAATTTTTTTATCCGCTCTTAGTGAATAAACATAAACGAAAAGAGAAAAGTAAAACGATTTCGTGCGAAAATTCCACTCATAATTAGGCTGAATAAATTTTATAATTCCAGTGGAAAATCCGTAATTTTTAGGGTGTGGCACCCTAATGTACTTACATACATACAAATAGAAAGTGAATGTGAGAACGCATGCATGTTTGTTTGTATTCGGAAATAGAACACAATTCCACACACAATTAAATTGAGAGTGTGAGAGGAGAAAGGTTGAAAATAGCGCCAACTGATCCGTACACAATCGAATGTGGAGGGTGAGGAAGTTAAACTACGTATGTAAATAATTATGTTTCGTAATTACGACAGAGATTTAGGCCAAAGCAGTTGTGAGTGTATACAAGAAAAACCCTTTTCCCACTATCTGGGACATTACCACTATCTAAATCAAAATTCAAGGTCAGGCAATAGTCTCGATTATATCAGCCTTCTCAGTTGGTAACCACTGTTTTCAAATTGTGAGAATTCAACAAATTCTTTGATAACTTATATCGCTCGATCGCTTGAGGAATATCATAACGCAAAAAAACTTGATCATATATATCAGTCACGACTAAAAGATATCTCGCGGGGAAAGTTCTAGAAAGCTTTCTACAAACTTTAAAGGTCGCGAAATTCTTGCGCGCGAGCAAAGTTCTTTGACCGTTCTAGATTTTGCGTAGGCGTGCACCAGGTGAAAGTCCTCTCTGATCGAATCAACATCTCTAAATCGGTCATGGGCGTCGCCTTGCCCGCGGGCAAAGCTCCTTTAGGCTTTTTATACATTTTTTATAGATTCGGTGATGTGCACTACCTTGCCCGCGGGCAAAGCTCTTTTAAGCTTTCTATACATTTTGTATAGACGCACACAGAGTAAAAGCTCTCTCTGCCGATCGCTGCACTAAATAAGTCCCTACACATTTGCTGCGACAGCTTTTATGTGTACATCATAGTTATCCACTTCATTGGTACGAGTGCTAAAACTGTTAAAAGTTCTCGCCACAACAAAATATATGCTGTCCCATAAACTGAAAGCTCTTTCTGATTATAACCGCATCAGTCACGTCCAAGGTTATTTCGCGGGAAAAGATTTTTAAAGCGTAAAGAGCAAAAGCTCTCTCCGGTCACCGCTTTTAATAGTTAGTTATTATATA